AGGCTGTTGCAAATGTGTGTACGATGCGTTTGACAAATGGATCGATGCAATGAGGGCGGATATTTTGTATAGTATTGTAACGAGTCCCGGTGCTTGAATTGAAATTCTATTTTAAAAAAAAATATATTTACATTCATTTACACTCGGAATTGGCGTTAACCCGCAATAATCGACAGAGGGGTACGTTCAACAGATTTTAAAAGAAAAAAATAAGTTTTTACCAATTTTTTTTTTTTTGTCTTTGATTAGCATCAGTAATCTAAATTTTCAAGTACGGGGAAAGATATTGACACCCCTCCTCCCCATGCTCCTTTCTACCCGCGACACTGAATGGATACACAATATAGTATTTTGGATATAATAAAGACAATTAAATCTTAAGGTGAGCTCTGATTTTTTTATTCAAACACTTACATCCCTCACTCACCGGTTTTATTACATGTAAAAGTTTACCTGCGCACAGCCAGACTGTAAGGAGGTCAGATCAAAATGCCCGCGAACACAACAAATATAATATACAATACAAATACACGTGATTGACATTTGACAGTGCTTGACCCTCAAAAATCTGTTCATAACATCAAATAAATAATACATTCGACATATTTAGAAATATATTTCAATTTCAACACTTCTCAAGAGAACTGAACAAAAGTGTTTGTTTCATATATGCAAATCGCCGAATTAAACATTGATGGTAAACTATTAGACGAAAAAAAAAAAGCTGTTTTAGGATAATGGAACGGATGCAGCCACTGTCGTCGGTAAAAAGTTTGGAGAGTAGCATATAGAAGGGAAATTGATTTGTATCCGCATGCAACGATAAACCATTGCTTACTAACAATACGATTCTGAGCGGAATTCAGTTGATAGTGATGCTAAGTCAACGGTATATAATATGTCATATTAATATATTATGGCGAAATAATTAAATAGGCAGTATAAATTTTTTTTAATAATATTTGCTTATAAAGTTTTTGTTATATATCGATTATTGTACCGATTTTCCCGGTTTTCCCTCCGGTTTTCTTTCTTTCGGTTTTTCACATTTGTCGAGAAAAAAACCGGGAAAATCGAAAAACGATTTCCCTTCGGTATCTCCCCAGTCCGATTTCCTTTCAGAAAAAGTGCTACACCCCGCGTACATCGGAGTAAGCTCTCCGGCAGGAAAAGTTTTCATATAAAAAACTAAACAAGTAAATGAAAAAAATCAAACGTAAACACCTCTGTAAAACCAATACACTCTTCGTTCCATTCGGGATCGGACACGCGATAACGAAAACGTGCAGCTAGTAAAATGTTCGTTTACCGTGTCTTGTAATTAATCGTTATTAAGCGGGCAAAAAAATGTCGGTATTTTTCCGACATATTTATTATCCGTCTTATTATTTTCGCCCCGTCGAACGCGTAAACAATACGTAAACACGAGTTTATGTCGAACTGTCTGGAGTGCACACGATCTTGCACAATATTGAAATAAAATGATGGATAAATAAAAGTCGGTTTTAAAGTCGTTTGTTTTTTTTTTTTTTTTTTTCACGCGTATTTACAATAAATCACACGTTTTCGACACGAAATTCAATATACACATTATAATATTACAATATATATATATATATATATATATGGACCGCAATACGGTAATATATTCGATATTCGATTTACATCCGCGACCGAAATCTTACCCGCGGTGCCGGAAATGGAAACACGCAATATAATAACGTTCGGTAATCCGTTTGACACGTTTGACGGTTTTCCGCGGCGATTTTTCTCCGACGGCGGTACACGAACGGCAAATACTGCGCGGTAGGTGTTTTTTATAATATACAAAAAAAAAAATAAAAAATACATCTCTCACGAAACAAGAACAACTAATAATATCGTATACGGTTAGGTACATATTTACTCGTGGGTGTGTGTGTGTGTGTGTATACGCTCGTAAAAGTTTTATTTTTTACGCGCCCGCAATACATAATAGTATAAAAAAACTCTTTGGTTTTTCGAAATCGATTTATTTATTCGTTTACTTTTATTATGATTATTATTATTTTTTTATCACAGTGACGGCTGCTATTATTTACGTTTTACGTATACGCAAAAAAACACACACACATACATACAGATATTATTATTATTACTATCGACGACCGCAGTAATAATAATTATTATCAGTATTATTATTTAGGCAAGTACGAACGCGATATTATTATACGATTTTTGTTCATTATTTCCGATGGAAAAAAACAAAAAACTCGTAACTCAAATTAATAGATTTTTTTTTTTTTTTTATACGTTTGTAATAAAATAAACACACTGTATTATGCGTGTGTATATATATATATATATATATATATATTATTATATTGTTGTTTATCGCCGTTCAAACAGCGAGAATCCGTAAAACTGAAAAAAAAACCCCCCACTCGAAACGCGCCGCGGTAGATGTAACAATTATTATTATTGGATACGCGATTCCAAAAACTTTCGCACAATAACGACACGTACGGAGAATGAACATAAAAAAAAAAAAAAAAAAATAACAATAACAATAATAGTAAAACGAAAGGTTAGGTTAGAAATAAAAACGAAAAATAATCAAGTATCGTTTTCAAAAAACAATAACATACGGCGAGCATTACGACCGACGCTGTTATAACTATTTAATGACGGTCCGACGGCGATAAAACAAACGCCGATAAAAACCGACGACGCGAACAATATTTTTTTTTTTTTTTTTTATCGCCGTTTTCGAAAAATATAAATTCTGTTGTCCGCGCGTTTTATTGCACGGTTTTGTTTATTTGTTTGTCTGTTTGTTCCACGCGCGCGCGCGCGCGTTGGTTTTTCGCCGTCATAAACGGGCACAGGTAATCGAACCGGTCATCGCCGTTCGCAATCGATATTTTACCTTTGACGGTTCCGCGACGTTGGCTAGTAATCGTCCTGTTGTTACATTCGAAATCCCGGACTGTTGCGGGTTTTTACTAGAACGTGTTTTTTTATTTTTTATTCGCGGCCCGTCGAAAGGACCGGCAAAGTCGCCGAAAAAAAAGCGTTGAGAAAAATTTAAATAAAACTACGTCTTGCGAAAAACTCGCACGATCCGCTTCGAAACTTCACAAACGAAAATTCGGTTTATGCGGCGTCGGCTGCAAGGCAGAAAAACACGGCTAATGCCACGACAAGCGATTTATAAAACTACCCGTGGAGTTCCCCCGGGCTGACCGGGCGAACAATGTCGATTACGGTGTCGTGACGTCACGGTACGGCGGCGGCGGCGCTAAACCCGACGCCGCCGCGGACATTACGTCGCCGCGCGTGTTCAACGTGACCGGCCGTTATCGCCGTGTTTACCGCGGGCCGGACCGTTTCCCCGCGTGTAATTTCGGTACATGCGTTTGCCCGTTACGCGGCCGGTCGGTACGCGAGTGAACGGCGCTCGCCGCGTTCCGCGGCACGCCGGACGGATTTTCCGACGGGACGGGGTTTCGGATTTCCTTTCAGAAAAAGTGCCGTCATTGTAAATCGGAGTACGCTTGCTGGTAAAAAAGTTGTCCGCGGAAAAAAAAACCATAAGCTTCTGCTACGCTTCACCCAGAATCTAAAACACACAATTACACGAATATGCTGTAATAATATAGACCGAAAACACTGAAAATACACTCGACATGTCGCCTAGACAATGTTACGAGGACATTGGGTGAGAAGTCTTCCCCCCCCTCTCTAAAAAAGTGGGGCGGTAGTCGGTATAGATTATTTACGGGGGTTTTGGCCATAGATCGTTTGTGACGGGAGTGTGGATTGGGAGTTGAAAAGCCAATTTAACTCCTGTACGAAGTAGGTCATATCCCTCAGTTCTTTTTTATGTACGTTTCGGTTCAAAGCATTGAAAAAACGCTCCGTTTTAGATACCGAGCGGAGCGAACAATGTAATTGGTATCGCGATGATGTTTGTTTTTTTCTTCTGCGGATAACGTTTCTACCGGCAATTCGGTCCGATTTTCAAGTGTAGCACTTTTTCCGGAAGGAAATCTGGCTGGGATGACACTTTGGGCGGGTTATTTTTTTGATTTTCTCGGGATTTTTCGTGATAAATGGGGTGAAACGGGAGAATGTACGAAATGTACTATCTTCGAGCCGTAACGTATTACGACCGTTCAAAACGTAGCGTATAACCGAACTCCGCTCAGAAGCGCTTTTCGTTGGCAACGGTTGATCGTCGCGTGCAGACGTAAATTTCCCCCCTATCTTCTCAACCCCTCACCTATTGTACAACACCGTCCCGCCCATCGCGCGGAGTGAGTCCGTGTCTATTTTTTTTTTTCAATAATCGGTATTGTTGTGTTTTCGCGTTATTGTAGGAAAACGCCGGGCGCAACACAAACGCGGATTATGTACGGACGCGAAAAGCGTCGCCGGTTCGATCTCGTAAAAACTATTATCGTATTTTTTCGCCGGATTATCGGAACCGAACACGCGCGCGGTCGTTGGCGAGCGGCCCGAGCGTTTTAACGGTTGTAACGTTACGGTGGTCGCGGTCGACGAGAAACCAATCGCCGACGCCGCCGCGGTATAACTCGTCGTTACTCGCGACGCGCATTGCGTACGGCGGCCGCGGTTTTCCCGTGACGGTGTCGCGGTCGCGGATCGGCTCGTTTCGGGCCGTTATCGCGGACCCGGCGGCGCACAAAACTGCCGTCGTCGCGCCGCTACATTTAATCATTGCGCGCCGTGCGCGGTCGGCCGTGGCTAGTCCCGTCACCCGCGGCGGCCCGCGCGTTATCGTCCGTAACGCGACCCCGACCCGGTTCGGTTTCCGCGACCGCGATAATACGCGGCCGGTCGGGCGACGACGCCCAGCCGATCGGGTACGCGCCGTTACCGTTCGGAATAACGCCGGCGCGAGCGTAACGTAATAATAATTTATTACTTGTTATCAGCAACGGCGGTGTCGTTATCGCGCGGCCAGTAATCGGCGGCGGCGTTACCCGTACCGCGTACGTCGCAGCCGCGTATTAGTAGCCGGTTGAACGGCGAGCGAAACGCCGCGCACGTCCAACGGTCCGTTTCACCGCGTATTCCGCCGCGCGTTATTTAATTTTATTCATTTTTCATTTTCGTTTTTTTTTTTTTTTTCCGTCGCGAGTTTCACGCGATGTATTCGGCGGCGAAACAATTGGCCCGCGGGCGGCTGCTTTCCGGGGCGGTCGGCGGCTGTCCGCGTCGCGGCCACTCCGGGACGGCGGCGGCGTCGTCGAGGGTCGTGAACGGCGTGCGCCACGAACGCGGCGAGTACGGACGCGTGACCGACGACGACGTCCGTCACTTCAGGTCGCTGCTGGGAGAACCGAACGTGGTGACCGGCGCCCAAAACGTCGGGCCGTACAACGTGGATTACTTGAAGCACGTGCCGGGTAAGCCCGCCGCAACACGCCCAGTCGTAATTCGCGGCTACTGTTTACAGCCGGGTTTTTAAAACGTCGCGGGGAGCGGCTCGCTGTTTCGGATACTCGCGTACACAGTAGTGTCACGCGACTCGCGGCGCACACGAGTGTTTTTTTTATTGCCCCCCCCCCCCCCCGTGCGTCGATCTGCAGCGGCCCAGACGTCCGGCGCCAGCTCGTTTCGCGACTCGAACTTTTCATAGTAATACGTTCTGACGAGACAATTTTTAACATTGTTCCCGTGCTTTTGACCGGCGTTTTTTTTTTTTATAAACGTTTTTCGAAATCGGCCGGTAGAATGTCAAAAAACGATAGAAAAATATTACGTCGACTGTTGACGACGAGTGGACGGCGGTGGATCCACTAATCGTCTCTCCTAGAAGCTGATCTAAGGGGCCAAAGAGGGGGGGGGTTCAATGTCCTATCGGCCCGTAAAGCGATTTCGTCAACATTTGCGACTCGGGTTGAAATGAAATCAAAATGTGTGGAGGCCCTACGCCCTCCCCTGCAATGAGTTATCCTCCCACCTATCCCTGTCGAGTCATTTTCTTCCGTTGCCCTTTTCCCCGAAAAACAGCATCTGCGGACAGTAAATTATTGGGGAAAAGTCTGATATCGTTAAAACGTTGAAAACAATTTCCAAAACAGGAAACGAAAACGTTTGTTTCGCATAGTATTATTATTGTTTCTGCTCACGTACTGCTGCTCACTACAATCTGGCGAGAATGTGTCGGAAATGCGTTTTCGTTCGGACAACGGACGGTCAGGGTTCAAAACCATCATCAACCTTCTCGTAGTCGACCTTATCGATTTTCGCAACAATCCGTTTCATCTTCAAATGCCCCGTCATTTATCATCGCGTTTTTATTCTCGTTTTCCGCACTCTCGCGTACACCGAGGCCGCGGTTTAATTTCAAACTTTGTTCGCACCGTCCGTGTCTGTCTGTATAAAATATGACGTAATACCGATTAAACCGCGTTTCCGAGGCTGCCGTTTTATCGTGAAAGGTGGTTTTTTTTTTTAAAAAAAATTCCGAACAGAACGAGGAATGTTATTAGTATATTTACTTTTTTCCTGTCTGTGCGTAAACAAGTTTTCGCCCAGTGATGGTTTATCACCGAGTACAACATACCACGGTATACAAATATCTGGAACATTTTTACGAAGCCAAATTACGTGTCCGCGAAATTTAAAATGTATGAAAAGCTATTTATAACTTTAAAAAAAAAAAAAAACTTGTCTATAAAACGGTAAATATTTGATGAAAATCTCGAGCAAAATATTTACAGAAATCTTAAACATTCCGGTTTTTTTTTATCATATTTCCGCAACCTTTTTCTCCGTACAGTATTGATAGAAATATCACAAGAAAAATCGGAAAATGTCCCACCCGATTTACAGACAGAGACAGAAGAGAAAAAAAAACATATTTGTCGTTCCGGTCATAATTGAGAATTCACACGAATATTAGGTACACGAGTACAGGCGAATGTTTGGAGGGAGTGAGAGTTTAGAGAGATATATTTCCCTCTTCAAATTTTTTTAAATGTACTTTTTTATATGATCCTCTATTTTTAAAATTTAAATTTCTTTATTTTTTAATCGGAAAAATTAACAATTCTATGTGTTCGTGCCTGTAAGATATCTAGTTAATATTATGCAACAAAAATCTGTCCTAGGATAATAGGGACGGGTGCTGCTACTGTTGTAGGTAATTTAAGGTACAGCTGTATAATATTTGTTTAATATTGTACCTATTTTCCCGTTTTTCCTACGTTATTTCTGGTATTTCCCGTTTGTTGGGAAAACTCCCGGAAAAATCGAAAAACGACCTCCTTAAAGTACCTCCCCGGGCAGATTTCCTTTTAGAAAAAGCGCTGCACTTGAAAATCGGAGCGAAATTGCTGGTAGAAAAGTTGTCCACAGAAAAATAGAACAATAAATAACACGCATCGTTGTAAAACCCCGCTCCACACGGAATCTAAAATACCTAAATGTATGCATTTCCTTGTTTCAACGAAACCTAACATTCGAACCCGGACACACTGTAATAGTACGGATGAAGTTGGATTAGATTTCCACACAGAACCGCGCCAATACTAAAATTTACGATACGAGTAGATTATTGCACCGCGTTTCACGACTTTTTGGAATTATAATAAAAGGAGTTGACAAAGGGACGTCATAACGAATATTAATGGTAAAAGACGACCGCGAAACCGGGTTCGGCCGTAACTGTCGTCCGAGCCGCGACCGCCTTTGTCGAAAAAAATTCTATTCCCGAAAACCGGTTCGCGACGTGGTTTTTCGCGGCGGCGTACTCTGGCGGATTTTTCAAAACGCGCCGGGGATACCGAGTAATAATAATACCGAGGCATCTAATTTATAGATTCTAAATGATGCGAAGAATGTATTGGTTTTACTAGTTATCGGTATGAGTTTTTTTTTTTTGTTTCTGCAAAACACTTTTCTACCAGAAATTTTGCTCCGACTAAATACTGTATAGTAACTCTCTTGTAGAACTTTTGATCTAGTTAGTGCTTTGGGGATTGAGAAAGTTATTTTGTTTTGATTTATCAAATTGCTATGTTACCTTAACAACAAGGAAACAAATACAACTAATAATACTCTGCTCAGAATTGTTTTTCGTTAGCAATGCTATAACTTTGCGTACAAATATAAATTAAATGACTCTGTGTATCCTTCCTACTACCTTCCCTTCTAAAACAGAGACACACCGGCCTAACCCCGAAGTCATATAAGTTATATATATATATTTATAAACAACATTAGACTTATCAATTTAGTTACTTCAATTAAAAGACTTAGGAATAACTTAAACAATCAATTAAAAGCACATTGAGTGTGTCCTAAAAAAATGTCTGCGTTTATTAGGTTTTATTAAGCACCAGCCTTCGGATTTTAAAGATTTGCGATCATTTAAGTTCTTACGATTACGTTTTTGTTAGATCCATTATTTTAGAATACGAATCGAATTTGAAGTTCGTATTCAGCAGTGGACAATAATTCCATTGAGCTCGTACAAAACTGTTTAATGCGATTTATTCGCCTTTAAATTCGATTTAACTATTAATAATCATGATTATACGCAGATACTTTCTAAATATTCCCAACTCTTGTGTCTAGACGTGATCTAGCGGTTATTTCCTTCGTTTATAAATTAATCAATGGTATACAATTTATGCAACCCGATTTATTAATAAGTAACCCTTTTAATATTTCAGCCTACATTGGCTCAACCTCTCTATTTCATGTACCAACACGCAGCACATATTAGTTAAAATACTCCTCTATTCCGAAGGTTTTATGTAATAAACTTCCGACAAATGCCGACTTTTTTTATTTTTACCTTTAGCGACAACTTTAAATTCGTACCTAATATTGATATGTGATACTGGGTAATACAAAACCGATTTATTTTATTCTGTTATTTCTAAATATCTAAGCATTTTTATCTGTACTATTGGGCTTCTGCTCGTTTTATTCTTTTTTTTAATAACTATTATTATTATTATCAGTATTATTTTTAATTTTTGACGTTATACAGATTAAGTTTTAATTTTTTTGTGCTGAAAATTAATTTTCTTAATAAACACGTTTGTAGTCTGAGTAATTGTTGCCCGTGTAAGGAAGTTTTTACAATTTTTACAGTTTAAAAGCTCACACGGAACCGTAAATTGTTGTCATGACACATCGTGTTTTCGGATAATAACTTGATTGTGGATATTTACCTAATTAAATAGAAATAATCTGACGTACCGGTACGTCAGAATAATAAACTCGAACGGGGCATCGACCAAACCGCTCTCCTCATAATTCGAACTCTAGAAGAAAAAATCGCAGTAGTATAATTTTGCGCAATCGTTAAAATAATAGACGCAAACTGCACAGTTATATTATTTATTGTTTACATAGTGGTAACGTAAATATTTTGTAGCTAACCACCTAATAGTATTTGAAATATAGTTGGACGAAATTCGCTTCAACCATTTTGAGCGCAACAGCGAGAGGAATTGATTTTACGGTAATCACGATGGTGATTTTTTCGCAGCTTTCTGTCTGTTATTTGGTCCTGACGATACGTTGCGAAAATTATTTTTTAACTACTTGTAGTTCTCTGTGTAACAAGGGAAAACCGAGTGAACACGTAAAAAAAAAAAAAAATTGAAGTATTTTGTTTCTGCGGTTATTGTCGGATTTTGTTTTATTCAATATTGAAAATAAATCTTAACAGACCCTTAAACATTCACCGAACACTATTTTATCGGAACTTTATAGACGTGGCAGAATTTTTAAAATATTCTAGCCTGTTTCAACTATTTACTGTAGCTAGGTATTTGAAATTGTCGAGGTTTTATAATTTTTACTTGGTTTTATGTGAACAAAGGTTTGGCTTCTCAAAAATGACCGCAAATTTCATAAAAAATTCATCATAGGTTGTTTTCCCCACAATATTTTTAAAAAATTTAAAATTCTTATAGTTACGACTATCCTATACAGCAATATATCCCGCCTTTCGACACCTCAACTTCCCACCTATACAGATCATCGGCCTAACCATGAATATTATCCTATCTTTTTCTGATTCTGAATTGAGTCGAGGAATGTATACTGGTTTAACCAGTATACGATGACAAACGCTTACTATTTTATTTATTCGGTCTGTAAACAACTTTTCCACCGGAGACCGTGTTCCAATCGAAAAATGACTAGAAACCTTTTTTGTTGAATTTCGGATTTAGTTATAGTCAGTAAGAAAGTCAACTTTTGATTTTCCAAAGCAGTTTTCATAATAATTAGAAAAACCCGTATAACCGCGAAGTTAATATTTTTATTTACTCGAATATTTATAAGCTGTGGGGCGGTAATAACGGTTTCCTAATTAAAACCGCCGTCCGTTTTCGATTTTTCCCCCAATTCGATCACCCGGACTGTCCCCTAGACAATTTATTATCAACACAAATTAGTTTCCTTTCACTCGCCTGGACTCCCACACGCCGTGATGTAGACATAAATATACGAACGCGGACGGGGAGCCCATAGAATTTCCTATCATTCTTTCGTTTATTGGAGGGTCTGCACTCTGAAACGCGGTATAGGGCGGAAAATAAATTTAATTATTTGTATACACAATGCAAAAACAAATAATACCACAGACCGCATAATATGTCTGCAGTCACTTAGATTTTGAACGCGGTGAACAAGTAAACTGCAATGACTCGCCTCCTCTGTGCAGCTTCTCTGTTCTGATTGTTTCGACTGCGACTCCGCAGTTCACCGCAATGACACCGTCCCACCGTAATTGTTATTATTACTGTGATCATGATTAGACGTATATTATTAATATTACTGTCATTACAACTGCCGCAGTGTGTACATATAGGTTTAATTAAACCGTGTATGTTTTCAGAAGAACCGACGATTAGGTGGGTCGTCAGTTCGTCAAGAGTGTTAAGGTTAGGTTAACAAGTTAACTAATCGACAGAACACGATTAATAAGCCCTGGTGTTTTTCTAATTAGTTTTTGAAACATTAAAATATTATTTCGGAAGGCTGCGCAAAATTAACTAAAATTATTCAGGAATTATACCGTTCGACAGGGCCGTATCAAGGTACAATGGGGTCGTTTTCCCCGGGGGCGCCAAAGCTTTTTAAAACTATGGGGCACCCGGCTCGATATAAAACTCGAAATAAAATTAAAAATATCACTTCTTCGTTGTTTTATTTTTAAACTCTTTGTCAGAGTAATAATGAATATTATTCGGTAATTAGAAGTGCGACCTAATAACGCATAAATAGTACGTGTACCTAGAAAAAAACTGAGGACTTAGGAAGAATCTTATTTGATAGAGGTAAAATGTTGAAATTTGAATATGAATTTAATGACATTTTATGAAAAACAACGCATTTTGGAGGAAAGGGAGAGGATTTACCCTCAAATCATCCTCAGATAAGATCTTAATAGAGACTGTACAAATTTATGTCCCTGGGCGTCAAATGGCTTGGCACGGATCGGCCATTCGGGAAAAACTCTTACGGGAACAAGGTCCGGAAACCTGCAACGAGATGTATATGTTAGATTAGGTTTTCGTACCAAGCGACGAATCAAAGATAACGCACTTGTTTGTCAATACTTACACATCGGATGTAACATAACGATCAACGGGCTTTGTTGCGGAATGGTTATATTATGTGTCCCGTAGAGGCTTAAGGGGTCTCGCAATATAAATAGCAAATAAAAGGCATTCCGCGTTTTAACGATTACGACCCTTTAGATTTTATAAAGAAAAAAATTGACTACGCCTTGGCGGAATAATTTATTTTATGTATTCGTTTTTATCTCGGTAAACAATGGTTTTGATCCACTTCAAGAAAGAAGATCGATGAAAAGGTGTATTGACGTAATGGAAAAGGATTTGGAAAGCTTAGGAGTTTAAAACTGGTTACAGACAGACAGACAGAGGGAGAGATAGATACTTGATTTCTCTTAATTTTAACCGTTAATACCTATTACTCGGCGAGTAATTTATTGAAAAAATAAAAGTAGACACTCTTGCGTAAAGCCTTTGTGGCTTTGTCGCAATATTATTTACGGACAAGTCGGTGTCGGAAAAAACAAAATATTATTATGACGCGCGTTACGAGAACGTCACACGTGCATTCGTTGTTTCTGCCTTTTAAACGCAAGATGTAGCAAAAATACGCTTACGCAGAACGCACAGAACTCGCTTAGTTTTGATTTTAGAGTAAAATCACTTGTGATGAAATTAATGAAGAACAATATTCCGGAGGGCGAGACGTTGCGCATTTTTGAAAAAATTATATTTATTTATTTTTTTTTTTTTTAAGTTTTATCCGGTTGTATTCTGAGAAACGGGAAAAAAACGCAACGTTTCGCCCTGCGGATTACCGTTCTCTTTCGATTTTACAACGGGCGTTTTTACTCTAAAACCAAAATTAATAAGCGAGTTCCGCGCAGACCGTGCAAGGTGTGGATTTCGCTTATATCGCCCGTCAGTCGGACCGAGACGGCGCGACACGCGGTTATAGCGTCCACTCGGGAGGTACGGCGGAAACACGCGAAATATCCGAAAACGTTTTATCCCGACGGTATTTCGGCCGGAAAACGCGCCGTCGGAAACGTACGCGCGGGACCGAAACCGCATCGCACACGTCCGGAAAATGGTCCGCGCGTAGCGAGCGCGTGACATCGCGAGTCCGTGCGACAGACGGAAACGGCGATCGGTGCGCCGTCCCCGCGACTGGCCGTCCGGAACTCGTACCGTCGTAAAAAATTGTATCGCCGTTATTGTAATATTGCACGCCATTGTATTCGCGCTGTTTTATCGCAGCGGCTATTGATAAGCGGTTAATAATGTTGTTGTTGTTGTTGTTGTTGTTGTCGCGTGTCGTGCCGCGCGCGCTGCAGGCAACACCGAGCTGGTGTTAAAACCGAGGACCACGGAGGACGTGTCGGAAATACTCAAGTACTGCAGCGGCAGGAGACTGGCGGTGTGTCCGCAGGCGGGCAACACGGGCGTGTCGGGCGGCGGCGTGGCGCTATTCGACGAGGTGGTCGTATCCACGCAACGGATGAACAGTATAATTAATTTCGATCCCGTGTCCGGTAAGTAGTGTTCGGCATGGTCCGAGTATTAATAATAATAATAACGATAATAACAACGGTAATAATATAACGCGTCCGGCGGGATATTGTTGTCGGGCGGGCGCGCGTGCGCGCGCGCGTATTGGACGATCTTTACGATACGCGTGCAGAGGTATGCGAGAACATTGTTGCCGTCGTCGACGACCGCGGGGGTGTTGTTGTTGTTGTTGTTTTTTTTTTTTTTTTTTTTTTTTTAACCCCGGGGGGGGAAAAAAAAAAAAAAAAACAAGACCGCGGCCAGAACGCCGGATTCCCATAAACGGGAAACCCGTACGCGCGTTTATGGGCCGCAGTATCTCGGTCGCGTGTAACGTGTTATTATTGCGTTACCGCGGTTACGCGGTCGTTACGCGATCCGGTCGACAATCCGGATTGTTTATTCACGCGGCAATATTGAAAAGCCGTCCTGGGACAACGGGAACCGGGGGACGGGTGCAGCCGCTGTTGTTGTACAGGTGATTCGACGTGCATCCGTGAGCGACGGTTAATCGTCGATAACGAAAAACGATTCTGAACGGAGTTCGGTTGATAGTGTTGCCGTGTCAACAACATATATATATATATATCATATTATGGTAAAATAATTGCGTGTCATACGCATTATACATTTTTTTTTTTTTTTTTTAAAGAAATTTCTTTATTTGTTCAATATTGTACCGATTTTCCCAGGAGTTTTCCCCACTTATTGGGAAAACTCCCGAGAAAATTGAAAAATGACCTCCCATAATAAAGTACTTTTCCAGTCCGATTTCCTTTCAGAAAAAGTAGTGCTATCATTGAAAACTACGGGTAGAAAAGTTGTTTAAAGAAAAAAAAAAATTAAACATCGTTGTAAAACCGATACATTCCTCGCTCCGCTCATAATTCAATAAAACCGTATGAATTAACCGTAGTATACAGATTATTTAAAAACAAAATATTAAACAGAACGAAAATTATTTCAAGTGTCAGACCATCGCGGGACACCTTTTATAATTATTGCGGTATTTATAGCATAGTGTAGTATTAGATTATTATTGGACTGTTCGGTTATCACGTGTTGTTTCGCAAAGTTTTTTTTTTTAATAGAAAATATACGGATGGAAATACATTTCTAGTGATGGAGCTTTGCTGCTCACGGGTGTATTCTCATTATTGTATAAATTTTTCATTATTAAGAATTCATTTAAACATAAAATATTTTATAATAGTACACATGACATATAATATTATACAAAAAAATAATTATAATACTCCTGTAAACCTAAGCTTGTGATGGAGTAGAGATTTGTTTTTCTGGTTGTGTATATAATTTAATAATATAACCACAGGCATCTTATTCTACATATGTATATATTATTATTTCAAATAAGTAGACTTAGTAGCATAGTGCAGACAATATGAAAAGAAAGACAACAAAAAAAAAAAAAAAACATACAAATAATACTTGTTATTATTATTATATTAGTTAAATTTATTAAACACCAGTAATTCAATACAAAATAATTAAAATATTTAAATAAAATACGTACAACGTAGAAACCCATCACGATTGCACGCCGAAAATAAAAAAAGGCACAATTACAAACATAGGACTAACTACCGTTCCCATAGGCTTTCCTAATACCTTCGTCAGGTTGATGGGCTGCTATTGACCGTTTCGTTCCTAATTGCCAAACGAGAGGAAGTAATAATCAAGTATTATCGGACACGAGTATTTTTGTATCCGACAACCACCAGCCAGACGATTTTTTCGTTTGTGCAAAAGTTAGCGACGCACTTTTTAACACGGACCAAGTGGTTACGTCCGTGAGGTTTGTTGAATTAACGACAGTGTGCGGGCGTGTGCGTTCTCCGGGTTTTAATTATTTAATGGAAAAACGTGTTTATTTTGATTTATTTGTTAATAAATCGGCGGGTACAGAGCCGTGTACACTTTCGAACAATGTTTTTGTATGAAGCATGAAGCACAACGATTTTTTATACTTACCACCGCCACCACCATTACCAACCCTCTAAATCGGTAATAAATCGTTATTCGCTATTACTATTCAAACTCGCTGGTCTGTTAGTTTACAGTCTTATTGCTTACGTGTCCGGCCGTCCATAACTCACCGCAACCAACCACCACTTTTGGTCGAGCCACGATCGTCAAAAAACAGTCTTCGTTACTTGTTTACGAATAGACACGATTTATTCATCGTGTAACTGTAGGCAAGTGCTGGAAGTCTCTTTTTGCAGGCTCGCCTTCGTGTTTCCATACGAGGACATTTTGTGAGGTACAATGGCGTACATAGAAACACGCGATTATATTATTATTATCGTCGACTCGAATAGTAATTCTTTTTTTTTTTTTTTTTATAGCCGTACAGTCCTTGAAACTATACGAAAAACGTTCGATACACGTATCCGTAAAGAAAGTAATTTTTTTCGTTTTCTGCGCCGCGCCGTCCGTAAATAGGTATAGGAAAAAAAAAAAAGAAAAAGTGTCGCGATCGTGTATAACTTATATTCATCGTCCCCGCTATAGCGCGCGCGACTCGTCTTTTGATAAAAAAAAAAATAATAATAACAATACCAGGGGTGGTATCCGCCACCCGCGGTGACGGATAAAACCTTTTTTTCTTTTCCTTTTTTTTTTTTTTCCTGCCCGTGTACTTACAATACGATATGCGCGTGTACCCACATTATGTGCTTGCATGGCGTACGCGTATTAAAATAATTTATATTATGGTATACGGTACCGACCACCCCCGTCGCGTTAATAATTTCGTACGCTTGTTGTTACCATTTTATCGTGTTACCGTGTTTATTGTATACCATTATTCGTTCGGGTCGCGCGGCCGACGAAGACTACGGGTAAAATATTCGAAACGGTACAAAAACAGCTCACAACAACTCGTACGCGATAATATTACAATCGTATATTATAATGGCTAGTGTACCGGAGTGATTTTAAACCGAGCGTATATGGTGTTTTTTTTTTTTTTCTATACAAAAACGTTTTTCTTTTTCTGTTTCGCTCGTGTACGTACCTGAGTACCTATTACGTATACGAAGAACACTAAATAATGTATCAAACGCGACTTTTATTTTTTTTTTCCTTTTTACCATTATTATACCTGATAATACACAAAGGCGCGTTTCGTCCGAACGCATGCAAAACGTTCGTGCCACATATTAGCCTGTAGTTTACGTGTCTATAGCTTTGCCCGCGCACAATCACGAATGGAAAACAAAAATAATAACGTGTCTCCCGGACCCAGTCCACCAGTCGTCCGTGTCTCTATCACAGCCGTTAAACGTCGTTGCCCGGTAATTTATATTTGTTTTCTTTTTCTTTTTTTTTTGAAACTGTAATATTTCCATGACGACCGAATCGTCTAAAATAATAATAATATCTGGTTTTTGTCGTCCTCGTCGTCGAGGTAACGCGCGTAAATCAACAAAAATAATTCAATTTTGCGTCCCGAAAACACCAAAAGCCCAGTGTCGGCCCCCCCCTTGTAGGGGTTGAATTTCGAAAGTCGGTGTTCCAGACGTACACACCATCCGTTCGTTCGTTTCTGTATGTAAATTTTCAGACCGCTGCGCGCGACAGATCCGACCGTGAATGGCGAATCGCGCACAAGCACACAGACGCCATACTTGCCTTTAGTACTGCAGATATAGAATGCAGATAAACGAAATAGATCCGATTAGTTCGGTCCGGTTCGGTCGTGTTCCGAGGGCGCGAAATCCCGGACACCTGCAAATCGAATTTCCACTAGCCAGTCGTAATAATCCGTTTGGACTCCCTTAAAAAGATGTCTATCAAATTTCCCTTTTTTTTTTTCAGAAACTGAAAAAAAATTTTCGCAAAAAAAAAACACAGCAAAACAGTTTTTAATGATGTTTATTGTGGAAACAATAAAATTACTCGTACACATAATTCCTTATTGTACACAAAGTATACATGCATTGAATGTGGTATACGCCCTTTTAACAAATCAGCGTTGGTTTAATTATATTTTAAAAAGGCGCCTGGATATCTTTTAATCGACATTAACAACTTAATTTTCCGCATTTAAATACGCCTTCTTACCGGTTTATACTACTAATTTTCCCGATTATTTTTTTTTTTTTGTATACCAAAAATGTATTTTTTGATTTTTAATGGTATACGCCCTGTTTTAACAAAACACCATCGATATTTATCAATTTATCGAAATTATATCGGTGTCTGCGAGGGAATTCGAACCCCCTGGACGTAAAAAAAAAAAAAAACGCGTAGTAAAATAGAAAATCGATTTGATTAATCTAATCTGTTTAGGCGCGACGTGGTTATCAGCATAATCGCGTATCGATTTAACATAATATTGAAATAAAATCGATACCAAAAATTACCTGTTTTCGGTGTTCGACCGTGTCTTGGATATGTCGATAGCTATCGAATCGCCCATACCTAAGTATAATTATTATATAGAGGTAGGTACATTTTATTTTTTTGTATCGTGTTAAAATAAGACATTAATATAAAATGTTTTTGCCGCAAAATTATTTTTTTATGTATGATATATTTATAATTATTTGGTTTGGCCTCGACAAAATTTAATTTAAAAAAAAAAAATAATAATAATAAGAAAAAACTGTTGCTTGTTGATAAATATCGAATATTAAATTTCCGTTATAAATTACAACGTTTCCTTATGTATGTATAATATTATTACACACGATCTTAATATTTATTAGGTATATGAAACCGCTGCCGCCGCCGGCTCTCCGACACGGTAAATACACTCTTTTTTTTTTTTTTTTCTTCTCGTCGTTTGAATATTTATTATGTTCTGTAAACGCGTACTTCAATAATAATAATAATATACGCGTATGTAAAACGATTTTCGAACAAAATCACGAACCACTTATTATTACGATATAAAAGCACACACACGCCTATATTTTGATTAACCGGAGTACGTACGAGTGTAATACCAGTTCGTACTCCGGATAATCAAAATTCAAAAAAATACTACCCGGTAAACTAATAACAATATTGTCCACGTACGCCATATTATTGTAAAATAATATTTGTAATATAGTGTCCGCGTGACATAAATCTAACGATAAAAAACCGTGTACATTTTAATATTTGTATGAAGAAAAAAAAATACAAATACAAAATACAAATATGACAATATACTACGGATTAAATATAAATAATAAATAAACAGATTGAATATTTACGCACAAATCAATTTTGTATACTTAACGGAAATTGTAAAACTTATTTTAAAAAAAATTGCAAACAATAATAATAATGCGAATAATAAATTTAATATTTATAAACTTCGATAAAAATAAAAAAATATCCACGAAATTTTTCTGCCATATTACAATTGTATATTTATAAAATCACAAATTTTGAATTCTACGTTTAACGTTTTACTATAATATCTAAATGTTTTGGAAAACATTTTTCGGGTTAGTAAAAACTGCAAACGCTCCAATTTACATGCATCAATAACCATACGGATTTTTTACTTGGTTAGGTTACTTTTTTTAAAAACTATTTCTAGATTCCCAATTGATTTCCCGAAAAACTTTAAAAAAAGCTGACAACAATAATGTCGATACGTCAATTATATTTTTGTAATCCGGTTCTGCAGGGTTACCTCATAGACTCCGTAAAGGGGAAAACACCTATATGAAACACTGGTCGTATAATGTGCAGTTTACAAGTTCAGAATCGGTTTTTTTTTTTTTTTTTAATTATTATTATTATCGCGATGATTTACCGTTGCTTTCGGTACACTAAATTATTCAGTTTATCCAATGCCTTCCTTATTTCCCACTTACAGCAGTGACAACATCCATTAGTGGTATCAGATCATTTTTTGTTGGTATTTTGTATCAACCCCGACGACAATATTGCGCCGCCCGCACCGTAATATTGATAATTAGTAATTATTAATTACAAATAGTTAAGTATACGATGTACACACAATATTATTGCATTGAACTACATAATAATATCCTCGCGACACGACACAATGAACGGCGTAGACAAATAAACCAATAACGTACGCGCGCTCGTTAAGTACTTGATGATAATAATAACACGGTGTCGCTTTTTTTTTAAACATTTTTTTTTTAAACGTATAGGGGTGTTGGTGTGCCAGGCGGGCTGCGTGCTCGAGTCGTTGATGGAGCACTTGGAGAGTCACGGACACATGATGCCGTTGGACTTGGGGTCGAAGGGTAGCTGTCAGATCGGCGGCAACCTGTCGACCAACGCGGGCGGCATACGCGTCATACGGTACGGCACGTTACAGGGATGCGTCTTGGGACTAGAAGCCGTAAGTGCGACGTGGGAGGAGGATCCCTAATTGGACTCGGCGATTAAAATTCCGAAATGATATACGCCAGTAATATACTTAACTGGAAAATATTATGTTTTTTTTGAAAACCACAGTCCTACCTATCGAGACTTTGAAGTAGGCAATTTTATTTTTCGCCGACATAAAGACACGAAAAACGGTTTTTGTCGGAAAATTAGTTTTCGCGTGAAGATCTACGCGTGGCACCGCACGGTCGTGAATAAATTGCTCCGTGGTCGTATCATAATAATATTATCATCAGGAATATTCTAATATCAAGATTACGATTCGCTTATCGGTACTTTTCGAGTCTCTCATTATTAGTTATTATTCGATTTGTTTTTATAGGTGTCTACTAGATATTTAACGTTCCCCGCGACCGATCGGCGTACAAATCTCGTACGCCTAACCTCCGGGAATCACTTCTGACTTTCGGGTGTTACGTTTTATGAATAGAATGCTCAAATAAAATTATTCCTTCGAAATTCGACGCGCCTTTAAAAATCGACGAATATACACTCCGATGATCTAAAGGACCGATTTCGTGTGCGCGTATTGTTATGAAATGCACCGGGGACGGCCGAACGGTCGACCGAGGGCTGTTCTTCAAATGTCGATCTCCCTTTTGGCAGAATTTATTTTCATGTAATTAGCGGACGAATCACAATTGCCGATCATTTTTACCTTGACGTATTATCATTGTTTTGTTGTCAGTTTACCAAGTGATACAATTTCACAGGGCTTATACTGGCAGTTATATCTGCAATAATATTATACGGGTCTTAATGACGGCGTGTTGATAAAAAAACCATTATTTGACCATAAATTTTAGTTTGATTATGTCCACGCGTGCGCGTATTGTCAATGACAAATTAGGTAATTTACAGCAATACATATTTTGTCGGGTGGTCGACCGTCGGAGCCGAAACACATTCTCCGCGGGTCTCGGCCGACGAAAGTTCGGTCGCCGCATTTTTCGATCAGCCGCGCGTTTGTCCGCAATCGTTTTAAAAAAAAACGAGCGACAATAACCGCGAACGGTACGAACACACTGTTGCGTCACGTCGGTTCGGCCGTTCGGCTTTGCGACGGCACGGCCCGGTCGCGCTTATCGAAAACGGTTCGCCGCGGCGCGGGACGTCGTGCGGGCGCGTCGTAAACAACGCGACCGTATCAACGCAACGGCGGCCGCCGCCGGATGACTCCGCGACCCCGCGCATAATGACGGGAACACGCGACGCGCGTACGTAATAAACCGTATTCGGTATCCGCGTAACGCGTCGTGGGCGCACGCGCGCTCGCGCGCCACCGGATCCGGGCGCGATCGACGGTTCGTTAGGTCCACCCCCCCCCCCTCTACCGGCCGCCGTCGTTCCGTTCGATTGACGGGATCGCGACGCGCGCGCGCACGTACACGCAGGCGTCCGGTATAACGCGCGGTGCGACCCCCGGGGAGGGTTTCGCGCGTGAGCGCATCCGACCGGGAAAACCCCGCGGGATTCGTGCGGCGGCGGCGGCGGTACAGTATCGCGTACACGTCCGAATGTAAAGCTTATTGCTTTGCCGCGGCCGTCACCCTGTACAGACGCGCAGAGTACACAATAACGATAATATATTACAACGGTCCCCGCGCGTGTATACAGGACGACGACTCTGACGATCGACGCGACTGTGCGCACGGCACGGCGTTAACGGTCGCTGTACCGCGCGGTCCGAGTGCAATTGCGTATAATTGTAGAACGCAATCACTGTTGCTAACGGTTTATCGCCATTGTGTATTTTACCGCCGCTGGTTATTCACCACCTCTTAAAAAGTGGTCGGGATCAGAGGCGCCGGGTTTTTGAAAACGTCGTGGGGGGCCCCCGCGCGCGCAGTCTCGCCTGAATCTCGCCGCGCAACTCTTGTTTTTATTCCCCTTGAATTGTTCGTTAAACGATAAAACTACTAAAACAAAAATACAGTTATTTGTCGTTTTGTATGTCATAACATTTTAATAGTATTAGTATATACTAAATTTAGTTTTTGAGGAAGTACATGACAAATATTGATTTTTTTTATAATATGAGAGAACCGTATGGGGCTTATCTCCATTTTGTTAAGCTCGTAGGGGGCTGCAGCCCAAAAGTCCCCATGTACACGACGCTCCTGATCGAGACAATAACAAAAGTCGGATTATAGAATACCGTAATCGTCGTTAGATCGATTGTACTTTATGACTGCGGTGAACAGTGAGCCTGGCAAAAACGAATTAATGATATTTAAAAGGAAAATCTTGCAAAGACGCCTACGACACAAGGTCAAACGGGGAACTTATTACTATATCTATTAGTGGTCATACCTAAGAGATTAAGATGGGCCAGACGCGTGTGGAGAAAGGAGGGCCGACTCATACGGATAGTCACAAACTGAAGACCCGATAAAAACCGACCGAATGGAGAAGGCCTAGACAACCGTGGGAGAGCCGAGTAAAAGAAGATCTTAAATTATCGGAAGTGCTGAATGAATAATATCCGGTAGTGCATAGAGAACACGGAAAGAGATTGTAAAAGCGACAATGGGCCTAGAATAAGAAAAAAAAAAATTCCACCAATATTCGCATGTATAACAGGGCGAATCAGCGAGATTCCTGGAGGATTTTAAGTAAATTCGATTACTTACTGTTTTTTTTTTCTTTCGAATCACTATTTTCCACTTTCTGTCCTTGAAACTGGCATAAAAGGTACTATGGAGAGCTGTGTTATAGAACTAACACAAATGACGAGCTATGTTAAGGACCAAAGAATTCAATGGCTAAGCCTCATAATGAAAACAGGTAAATACGAGACAGTTAGGGTAGCTATTATGGAATTAAGAAAAGATCGATTGATGCGGTGGAAAAGGATTTGGAAAGCCTGGAAATTGAAAACTGAAGAGAGACAGTTCAAGATTGAGACGAGTGGCGAAGTGCAGTGATGGCGGCGTAAACTCTCAGAGAAAATACAAACTTTATATTATCTAAATGTTAAATCTAATTGATTATAACCCTTCCCTACTCCTTCGAGAAAATCGCTGGTTCATGATAAATGGATCTTTCTGTATACATGTATTATTATTATTATTATTATGCACACTGTGCTCGTTCGAGTGACGATGATAATAACGAACGTACCTAATAATATTATTATAATATCGTCCGACTGCAATTTATACAACAATAATAATAATTATTAGGGCTCGGAATAATATAGACAGTAAAATCGTACTAAATATGCGCATGAATTATTATAATGCAGTGGCAGTATGATAGCAGTTTTATGAGTCTGAAGACTCGCCATTTTTTAATAGTTAAGTGGGTGACTGGTTCAGCTGAGTGGTCCGTGGGTGTGAGATACTTATTGGCTTAGGTTAAAATGTTTTCACAAATAACAATGCATTACAATTGATGCGCAAGATCATTTATTAATAATTACGATGGGAGATTCAAATAATTGTTTTGTTATCTCGCACGTGATATGAGTTTCGCGCCGCAACATGTATGCACGTGTTATCACGAGAATACGAAAATCTGAAAAAAAATAATATACTCACGACATTTAAGTTTCTTAAGCTTTTTGTCTAGTTTCTCGTTATCGACGTCATCGCTGTGGTATTACACCCGCAGCAAACTGTATCTTGTTTTTGAGAGCTCTTGTGTCATTGGTAAACAATAAATTATCAATCGAGTATTGACAATAATTAACCTAGAGGTCAACGAATTAATAATGTGGGAAAAAATAAATTTAAAAAACATTCAAATGTGAATTTACCAGTTAAATGTTAATATAAACGTAATGTTATTTTTTTCAATAGATTAATTATTTGTACGCTTTTTTGAAACAAGTATAAATACGCAAAATAATTATAAAAAAAAAAAAAAAAAAACATGTACACGTATGTAGAACAAGCACAATACAGCGCAATCGATATCTTAATTCAACTGTAGGTAGCACTGATGTCATTTATCGTAAAGAAACACTGTCAAATAGACCTTATTTTTGTATAATATACCATGTGTTTTTTTACACGTCGTCGTCAGAGTGCGCTAGTGCTCAAGCACGGTACGTCGCGATATAATTATGGACGATCCGAATTATCACAAAACTAGCCTCCTTGTTTCAGTTTACTAAACTTCTACTAGAGTACAGATCATTCGAATTTAAATACCAATAGTCTCTCTTTTGTTCTCCCGGGGAAAATTTATCTAAACCGTTCGCGTTAAATTAAATACTCGTACAGAATTTCCCGAACGCAGTATACAACGTCTGTAAATAATTGATATCGTTTCCGGAAATCTCCATAACAAACTCGATCGTCAATAATATAATACGCTTATAATGCATGATACATATATATTATGTTATTAAAAAAAAAAATATTCGACCGCGGTTTTCGGGGCGTTTTCAACGGATTCAGTATATAATAATACACATATATGGGCGGGTAAATATACCAAAAATATCGTATGTTTCGCGTCGCGTGTTTTTTTGAACGCGAAATGTCTTTTATAATACCATAATATACGGACATATATTTATAATAATATACCTATGCAATATAATAACGTGTCCGAAAACACGCGAAACGAAAAACATATATATTAATATGTTTATACTCGTATACAATTAAAAGTCGAAACGTATAACGTTTAAAAAAAAAAAATAATAATAATAACAACTGTACGGTTCGCTATTTGTTTATGCTAAAAAAAAAAAAAAAAAAAAAAAAAAAAAAAAGCCCCAGAGAAAGCTGCCGCCGCGGTCGACGTTAACATCACGTTAAATATTATTCGGAGTTATTCAATCAATGTACGCGCGCGACGACGATAAATTGTGGCTGACGAAATGCCATTCTGAGCGAAATTCGCCACGCGTTTTAAAATGCCGGTTTTCCTCGTTGATTTTCGGATCGCCTTTTGGTCGTGCGTACAAGGGTGATAAAAAAACCGTACCTGTTCGACAAAGTTCCCCGAGAATCATTGCGACGGTTTGTCGTCGCAAACTATAAAAAAATTACCGGCCTGCGTCCTGATATTACAGTATGTGTTCTCAACTTCCCGACTATACCCACGGTGCGGCGAGTATATAATATGTCCTAAGCAAACGGACATACATGGTACGATGGATGGACCACTATTGTAAGCGAGAAGTTGGAAAGGTGGAGGGAAAATTTAATGTATATCTGTACGCAAACATTAATCGTTGCTATCGAAAAACGATTCTGAACGGAGTTCGGTCATACGCGTTTTGAAAGGCCGTAATACGTTACGATTTGAAAATAATACATTTCATCCCATTTATTATGTAAACTCCTAATGTACCGCCTCAGTCAGATTTCCTTTCGGGAAAAGTGCTACACTTGAAAATCGGAGCAAAATTTCCGGTAGGAAAGTCGTTCGCAGTTAAGAAAAAAAAAAAAAACTTTAATAATCACCGTTGTAAAACCGACACATTCCTCGCTCCGTTCAAAATCTAAAACAGTAACAAATAATAACACTAACAGACCGGTGGCGTAGCGAGGGGAGGTGTTGGTGGTATAGCGACACCCCCCGTGACCGTGTTTATTGCTACATGTATATAGTAAAATTGTGCAAGATAATTATTTTACAATATGACTACGGGTAACTCCATGCGTAAACGTAACCATATCACTGTGTAAATTACTTGACAATATCAAATTTTCACGAAAATCATAAATATTACGGCCTTTGAAAACGCGTACAACCAAACTCCGCTCAGAATCGTTTTTCGTTAGCAATGATTAGTCGCGTCGCGTACAGGTGTACATTCGATTCCCATCTTATTGTCCTGACCTCTCATCAATACCGGTGCCCCGCCCATCGTGCGAAGTATGTCGGTCGTTTTTTTAATTAATAGGTTTTGTTACTTTTCATAACACCTCCCCTCGCCCCCTTTGGAAATTTCTGGGCTACGTGCCTGTAACAAACCCTACGAATTAACTGCTATGTAGCTACAAATACACATATATATATAATATTATGTAATGGCGGTGGCGAAACGCGTTGTGTTTGATCGGTCGAAAACGAACAACTCCGGAGGCCCTCAATAAGCTTTCCCTTAATTACGTGTGTTTTCGTCGACATCGGAATCGCGATTCGGTATGCGTACGGCGTGTATAAAGTACGGTACAACAACCCTCCCCTCTCCCGCCGCCGCCGCCTTGCCACTTCCCCCGGATTTCCACGTCGGCCGTAGCCGCGAGCAGGGCGGTTTCCCCTATATTTTGCAGTAATTGCATAGTCTGCCGCCGCGCCGGTGATTTAGCAATCGGCCCGACGCTCAATTAAGTGGGTTCGGTTTTTTTCGCCCTCCGCTTTTTACTTATTATTATTATTATTATTATTATTATTATTTTTAATCAAATCAGTGTTTCGTGTTGTACTTTTTTTTTTTCGGTTCGTTGTTGTTCTTTTTTTTTTTTTTTTTATCGCACACTGAGAGTAATCCGCCGAAACTCTTGGAGTTATATCCTCCTATGTATACCTATATATTATTATACTGCACGACCCTCTTTTTATTATTTATTAAAGTCGTTTGTTTGTTTATTATTATTTTTTTTATATTTTCGCTAAATTATACCGGAATGCCGCTAACGGTTTATTATCATTATTTTTTTTTTATTTTTTTTAATTAGACGCAACGTTAAATAATGTACCTCTACACGACTATACCGTAATTACCATAGTATAAAACAAAAAATTAATATCTGCTCGGTGGCAAAATTAACATTATTAAATATGAATGCGCCCGGAGTGCAAACGAGCGCAGATTTATATTAGCGCATACTTATACTTGTATAGTTACACTCAATTAAACTAGATTCGACAACAAAGGGTTGTTATCGTTACCGTCTTCGACACGGTTTCCGTGCTTTCCTCGTGATAACCGGGCACGGGACCCGCGGAGTAATGGGATTCAGCCCGTATCCAAACCAATAGTTTGAATATTTTATTTTCGGTCTTATGCTATATATTTGTCACAATTTTGAAAAATCTTGTATCTTCTGTTTTAAAACTATATTTGTCGTATTTTCTGAAAAAAATTCACCGCCCCTCCTTATTTCAATTTTCGAGATCCGCGCCTGATCACAACTACCGGTGGTCGAGGAGGAGAGAGGGCGATTCCGTCGGTTTATTATTATTTGAACAGACCTTATAATTTTATCGTAATATAAAACAAATAAAAATATTACTCATACTCGCACAGAGAATCTCAAAAAAAATTCGAATCGATTATAGTTTTCAAGGAGCAACGGTTTGTCTCAAAATATTGTGCTGTTACTAAAAGCCGGTGCCTACCCTTAAAATATAACATAAACTTACTTTATTTTTTTATGAAGTTGTTATTCCACCCCTCCCCCCATGATTAAACCTTAATTTCATTGCTGTTATAACCTACGCAGAACATGTTTATAAAATCTTCTTCTTCTCGTGTGTATACGGTTAGTATTGAACATTGGATAATATCAACTTTTCGACCAATAAAACCGATTTTGTGCTGTTAGTTTTAAGATCAGAGTGAATCGGCCCAGTATCAAACTTAAAGATAAGAACAATAGTTACTGTGTTTGAACGTTGGTTTTTTCCCGATATTTTAATTTTTAAGCGAGATACGAGCATGTGCTATTATAATCTCTTACAGTTTAAAAAACTTTGTAACTCGCTTAAAAATTAAAACATCGGAAAAGAAACTAAATGATAAAAAAAACTTTAATATTAAAACTAACAACACAAAATCCGTTCTACTGAACAAAAAGAGGACATTATCAAATTTTTAACATATTATAATAATATTATACCGGAATGAGAATAATGACACGGCAGCTGTTTTATTATTTGATCTTGTTGTTTTTCACACTCGTCGTAATCATAAACGATGTTAGTCATTCCTATCATGAAATTATATTATTATTGATATTGATATAAGAAAATATCAAAAACCATATTTTATATTGACTATTTAATTAGGTATGTGTTTATAGGTCATGGCGGACGGAACGATTGTGGACTGTTTGAACACGATGCGAAAAGACAACACGGGATATCATTTGAAACATCTTTTTATCGGGTCGGAAGGCACTTTAGGCGTTATCACTAAAGCAGCGATATTGTGTCCGAATCTACCGAAGTACGTCAACGTAGCATTCATCGGTAAGAAAATATTCAAATTAATATCAAAACGGTTTTTTTTTTTTTTTTTCGTTCTGTGATGCGTATAAAACCTGTACGCTCAAATTTATTGCAAAAAGCTTATAATTTGTCAAAACAGTATAATTAATATTAATATTATAATATGCTTTAGTCGTCGCGATTAAAATATTACGAAAGAAATTATAATAGCAATTTTTTTGCGGTATTTTTACAAACATCAGATGGCAACGGTATGTATATAATTGGAACGAAGAAATTCAAACTATAACCATTTACTCGATTTCCGGATTTGTTTTTTTATCGCGTCTTCTGCAGTTTTACAATATTGCTATGTTTAATAATCCAAAAAAATAACACATCGACCCGTTGCTCTTGGAACGTTCTGCTATATCTAAAATTTAACGACAAACAACCGACTGCTTACTTAAGGGAAACAATTAACGAAATCGTTTTGTGTACTTAGCTCAAAGTGTACATATATATATATGACAAAGAAGATTACTTTCAGTGTCATTGGTGGCCGTGTTGATGATGACTGCGGTAGATAAGTCTCTGTAGTGTTTACTGTTGTTATTTAAATTACGATTGGTAAATTTAAACTGTGTGACACTGTATTCACACTTTAGAACTAATGCACTGTTTACCATAATCGTATAAAAATACTAAAGATAGTGTACAAAAAATTTAACACTGTTATAATATTTGTTCTTGCCTATTCGAAAACCCTCATGCCTATTAATATTATACGAAATCGTAAACAAAACCAACCGTTTTAATTATTTTAAATTCTCATACAATACTACGTAAATTTACGTCAACGCGTTAATATTATTATCAGCAGCTGAAATATTAAGCCTCATTTGACTTTAATGTTATCATTGTGTTTGTAGAAAAATTGTGTACACTAAAATTTAATCTTAAATTTAATAACAACGGGCGATAGCTTTATTTTTCTTGCTCATAAAAATAAAATGAGTGATGTAAAGTAATGATATTTTTCATCGCCAAAATTAGCGTGGTGAACGGACGATAAAGTATAAATGCGTCTCTGTATACTATACGTATTGTATTAAAACGGTTAAGTAATTAAAAAAAAAAAAAAATTAATGTTAACCTTCTGAAAATCTTAATCTTCGAATTATATTGATTAGTGATTATGATGCGTTTCATCATAAATAGCAATACATCACTAAGTCGTTAAGTGTTTACTGACGTGGCGTACCGATCCCACACACGGCTTACATTATATAGTATTTGAGTTTCCAAATAAACCATAAAACACTGTGAAAAACAAAAAAAATTACAAACATATTTTAAACCGGGATTAGTGTTTTCAGTGTTTTCCGTGAGCGATGACTAAACGACACGAACAAATAAACAAATAATAATAACACACCGCTATCGAACATCAAGCACACAGGCTAATCATATTACATTATCTAAACCGATAATTCGAATCCAACGTAACGAAAACAATAATGAAAATAAAATAAAAACATAATCGAGTGCTCGTTCATTATGGCGGTACAATGTAGTAAACGAAGGTACTCGAGTCGATCACACTCTGTGACTTAATCGGTATACTTAAGTCAACAATAATCATCTTAAGCTACAATGTACACATCGTGTGCATACAAGATTTAAGCTTAAAATATTAATTTTTACTCAATAGCATAATATTGTCCTCAATGAATTAACGAATTAATTAACATGTAGTAAACGAAACTAAAACGCTAAGTACACGGTGATGAGTAGGAATGCGAACAGTGAGGAGTAATCTGCTTATTGAACAAATAAGGTGTTTGGGAATTAACGTGAACGCAATAAATAACGTACAAAATGAAATTAAAACGAGACTACCGACAAGAGTCAATATTTACAATGATAGAAATGTTATCTTCCAAAATTACCGTCTAGATATAACAAAGAGCGCCTAGTACGCACCTACAGTAACCCATTATATTGACGTTCGTTTGTGGGACAAGTAAATGTAACAGTTGAAAGTTTTCCCGGCGTTTTTCTAGGATTTTCAACATAATTGAGAATACTACAAAAAAAAAAAAAAAATTGAAAAATAGCCACTTCCATAAACAAGACATCAATTTTCACTAGAAATTATTTAAAGTCAACGATCTAATAGCGCTAAAGTGATTTTTGATAAGCTTTGTTATCATTCCCACCATTTCTATCTATAGAACTATCCTTTTTTGATCTATGTTTAAAACAGATGTTAAATTGAGACATTACAGCGCGTGTTTTGACGAATAACCAAATGTAACCGGGTTACTGTATTTTATAATCAAGTCGTTTTGGCGATTTTGGTTATGGGTTACTGAAATATCGTTACCAAACGAAATTAACGGTTATGATGTTTGGTTATTGATAAAGTAATAATTATATCTAGCCAGTGCTTTTATTTATTATCAATCAATATAATTTGTAATAACCAAAAACGTTTTTCGTTTTCGCGAATTTATAACCATAATTGATAGCGAACATAAATAGTTTAATCGCTAAAACATATCTTATGTTTATGGATTAGAGTCGGTTGTTGTTTTTTTTTAAACTTATAAACTATAATAAAACCGTCGATCAAGAATACTTAATCAACGTGTCACGAAAAGGAAAAAAACGGCCTCAGTTTCTAATCGTTCAAGAATCAAAAATTATAGCCCGTCACGATACCTATATCGATGTCTTTATTATTTATGGACGCGACCGAAAGAAGAAGCGCAATAAATCGACGTCCGATAAATTTGAATTGAACGGATGAACATAATATAATTATTATTATTGATGAGTAGCGACCGCTAAAAGTGGTTTAATCGTGTATGCATAAAAAAAAAATGAAAAAATGATACGCACAAAATATTCATAAATTTGCAGTATATTAAATATCAATTATTAAATTACGCGAACTCCCCCGGGCGAACAAAAAAATACAGTCGAATTATTATTCCGGTATTTAAAATGCTCGTATATTATCCGATTAAATTTCCGTGCGTACGTTCGTAAAAATTATACTTTTTTTCTTTTTTTTTTTTTTTTTCGTATTTTTTAATGCGCTTTTACTGAAAAATATTACGTGAAATACATAAACACACGCATGAGTATACAACACAGTCGTTGTGTATATATTTGGAAATAATTATAATATTATTATACGTTCGTTGTGCTCGTATATATAAAACATTTTATACGCGGGGTTGACTCGCGCTGCAGTATATTGGATTAAAACCGACACGTATTTACTATACATAATAATAATAATAATAATGATCATTTTTTTTTTTTCATTTTGAAAAGAGTTTTTTTATATACGACAAACACACACGCGTCAGAACGGAAGTCGGTTGTTTGCGGTGGTTTTGGTTTTGTTTGTGTGTGTGTGTGTGTGTGTGTAAAATGTAGGTAAACGTTGCGATGATGGTTATATACAAAGTACAATAATAATAATAATAATATGATCCTTTTGACTTTTTTATCCTGCGTCGGCGGTATTATATACGAGTAAAACAAAACGTATATATACCGCCGCAACGGCATAATATTATTATTATTATGCGACAGACTGTGAAGTGAAAGCAATGTAAAAAGAAGAAAAAAAAAAGAAAACATTAAATAAAAAAAAAAAAAAAAAATGTCTCTATAGGAAAAGTTACCGCCGCCCCAGCCGTTTGAGCTTTCCTATATATACAAGTATACAGCTTAATATTATTGTTATTATATATATAGATACGAATTTTGTCGTTTTTTTTTTTTATTCTCGTTCCGCAGCATTTGTCAATACGTTCGTTTTCCTCTCCGTTCCGCTTTTTTTTTTTTCTTTTTTTTTATTAGATCGTATTGGTTTATTACTTATACTTCGTATTTTTTTTATTTTTATTTTTTTTTTATCGTCTGATGACATTTCTCTACTTAGATACCTGCGTGATTTCGCTCCGATCCGAAAATCGATACGCGGACAATTTTTGTACAATTTCGGATCTGGCTTATGAGCATTGGGGAGGTCGTTTTTTTGATTTTCCAAGCGGTTTTCATAATTACGAGAAACCTAGGAAAAAACGTATAGAAAATAACACGAGGGGAAATTTACGAAAGTAAAAATGTTATTATTTTCGATTTTGTTATAGTTCGGTTGGAAATAATAGTTGAGACCTTAAATTTTTGCACAAAACATATATTGGTATTTTCTAGACGCGGTGGAGTTTACCGAACGTTCTGGCGATTTTTAAGTTAGTTATAAGTATATATTTGACATTTTCGAATTTTTTTTTTGTTTTATATGAACGAAATAGTTTTAGCCTGTCAGAAATGCTTGATAATTGTACAAAAAATTCGTTATGTTAAATAAAAAAAAAAGAAACGAAGCATTTTAAGCGTTCAAATTTCGACGAAAAACGTAAAAACCGCGGCATTTCAAAACGCGTCCGACCGGACTCCGAACTCAGAATCGCATTTCGTCAGCGACGATCGGCCGTCGCGCGCTGATATAAATTAAATAACTTTACCGATACCTTTTCAACTTTCCACGCGCCTTCGCGTACGCCATTATATTGTTCAGTTTCGTTTGCCTCTGGCCGCGGCGCCCATAACGTACATACACACGCGCGCGTGTGCGTGTGCGTGTGCGTGTGCGTGTGCGTGTGTACTCGTATGTATAATAACAGTTTTTCCATGTGCGTTTTTGCGCCGACAGGGTTGGACAGTTACGATAAAGTGCTAAAGTTGTTCTCGGTCGCTCGCGCCGAGTTCGGCGAGACGCTGTCGTCGTTCGAACTTATGGACAACGCGACCGTGACGTGCGTGGAAAACAGCCTTCACCTACGGTGCCCGATCGCCAACGACCGTCCGTTTTACGTGCTCGTCGAGCTCGCGTCCAGTCGGCCGACCGCCGGCCGGCACATGGAAAACGTTTTGGCCAAAGCCCTCGAAGACTCGCTGATCGCGGACGCCGCGACGACGGATCAAACGTCCGGCATAAACGTAAGTACGGTATGGTATATATATATATATGTACCTGTATAGATTGATCGATTGATTTTTTTTTTTTTTTTCAACGGGATCGCCCCCTCCGGCTGCAGTCGGAAAGCTTCAGGGCGCTTCGAACATTAGCGCGTACACGGGCGGGTTCAGCTCCCCGAAAACCCGGCCGAGCGTGCTCCCCCGAAACGGGACGTTCGCCGGGCGTCTTCGCTCGGAAAAATAAGCAAACGCCTAGTGTTAATCCGAACCTGGATTGTAGCGATATTGTATTGTCGGGCGTCTCAAATTTCGATTTCGTTCGCGACGGTGGCGTGACTGCGCGGGGCCGTTTTCGGAGGGGCGATTTGAATATTTGTTGAAAATATCGAAACTAAATCATAAATAATGCGTACCTATCACAAAATTATACTAAAATTATGTTTATTTCGGAACGAACGGGTGCCTCTATACAGCTGACATTCAAATTTGGTGGACGTTTTCTCGGGAACTACTTACCTATTTTATACGAAATCTTCTAAATTTAGGTACGGGACCGTTTCTCCCTCAGAATAGCGGACGAAATGTCAGTGACCGAGAGTGTCCATTATGTAGAGGTTTCGCTGTATTGATAATTTAATACATCTTTCATTTTGTATTTTTTCGTAACAAGCAATTGCGAAAAAAAGATATTACATCTAGAATTGTTTAGGGGTTGATGTGTCATCCCTCTCCCCCAAATAAAGATTTTTTTTTTTCCGTTTCTGTTCGCGTGCAGAAAATGTGGAAGATCCGCGAAACGGCCATCGAAGGACTGTTGAAGTTAGGTCACGTGTACAGTTTCGACATATCGCTGCCTCTGGACCGATTCTACGAGATCGTCGAACTGACCCGGGAGAGACTCAAAAACGTCGCCGAGTGCAAAGCCGTTTCTGGATTCGGTCACATAGGTGAGTGTAACACCAGTAATCACGCGCAATATTCGGTATCGACGCGAATCTATTAACATTACCGCGGTAATATCGTTAACGCGTCGTTTTCGTAACGACCGCGCAGTTTTAATGGGACACCGGTATACGCGGTGCCCATCGGGCATCTGTTAACATAAAATAATATCGTAAACTCTGTACCGCGTACAACGCGCGAATTACGTACGGATTATTTCATATGGGCGCGTTACACGCTCGAAAACATAAATTGCACGTGTGTAATAACGTGTGACTATTCGTGTACATTTATCGTTTGAAAAATTTAATGTACTTAACCGTAATTGTAGGACGCGATATAATTATATATGCGTTCCGATTCTGAGCGCAGCGAGGGACTCGTATTATACGTATTGTTGGTTCTATCGGAAATACATCGAAAATTTATTAAAAAAAAAAAAAAAAAAAAAATGTCTGTCAATGACCTCGCGTACAGTGCATGTATAACGATATAATAATATAGGGTTTTTTGTGCGTACGAATCGAAATCGATACGATATTATGTAATTCCGATAAAAATTATACGATATTTATACGAATATTTCCGTATATACAAACCGACCGGTTTTCGTTTGTTTTCCACTGTGCGTATTTTGTAGGCGTGTACGTATATACGTATAAATTTACGATTTTATTTCGCTGACAACTCGTATGTGTATATCAGCAAAAACATTCTGTGAAAACGGTTCAATTTTCGAATATTATTTTTGCATCCACGGTACCCGCAATATACACACGAATACTCGCGTTAGGAAAACATATATTTGTACATAATATTGACTTTAAATCATTTTTGATAATTCAACCGTATTCAAAATTTGCGTATAATAACATTAAGCAGATGTACAACGTATAATATCGTAATATTCCTACGCAATTATTGTCACTGACGGCGGATTCAGCGTTAGTTTACGGTCAGGGCACTCGCCTTATAGATTTAACTAGGAGGCACCCGAATGTAATTTTATATTTTTTTTTCGTGCTTGGCTTTTGACTCGAAAAATAAATGCAGATTTTTGTCACATCGAATTTCTCCGGTGTATTTCAACTGCTCTAGTGAGATCCCTGCGAAATATCGGTGCCTATCCCACCAGTTTATAATGTAGTGATCCCGATTCAAAATGCCGAGTCGCAGTAACAACATAAAAGGGTTCTGATAGTATTACAACACCTACGACGCCCTTACGAAAATACGAAAATAATATCCGATTTTGATAAGAATATCGTTGTACAACCGAGCAAACGCGGCCGTCGGTCGGTTCATCGTTAAAATATTTTAATCGTCGCCGTTTTGAGAAAACAATTTAAGACGTATTAGGTTACCGGTTTATGGTATACATAATTGTATAATATAGTCCGCGTAACAATATATTTTGTTCTACTCTGCAGCGCGTTTGAAAAAAAAAAAAAACACAAATTATCGCTACACGGATGATTAGTGTAATTTTATAGTGTCAATGTCGTCGTTTATTTTATTTTATTTTTTTTTTAATTTCGCTTACATTCAAATTCGTAATGTTATTTTATTGCAGCAATCAGTTCGAAACTAATCGCGGACGATTCGATTTTAATTAATTTACCCACTCGAATGCGGTTCTCTCGAAACGAGAAAAAACCTAATAAAAACCTAACCGTTGTTCCCACGTACATATGAGTAGCGTGACTCGTTAAAATTGAATTCGTAAAGCGATACGATCACCAACGGCACCCACCGCGTTTTTCATTGTTCTTGAAAATTGTAGCCGAATGTATGCACACATAATTTTATAATAATTATTATACTATTATACCACACTATACGAATTACCCCTTAATTCCGTACATTGTCTGAGTGGTTTGGCGTAGGTTTTCAAAATTTTCTCCGATTTTGTAAAATTTGAAAATTGTTTTTTAATATTTTAATGATATAGCTTTTCCGCTAATCTACCGCACGGTACCCATTTCAGGGGAAGGGGTACGGCCGTTTTTACAGACGAATATGGCGTTTTACACGGAAATTCCAGACGAAAATATAATCGATTTGGGTTCAACGGTTCTTTTTTTGTTTTTTAATTTTTTTAAATTAAAAGCCGTCTAACTCGAACCCTATACATTTTCGTCTAGGAGTCCGGTATAAATATCGTGTTTTGTCATTGTTATTTTTTAGAACGCAAATGTTTGTAATTTGAATATCGTAACATGCTAACGAAAACCAGAAAAATCGCAATCTCCATACCGACTGAATCTTATACACATAATATATTACATTGAAATTTGATGGCGGATCATTTTCAAACCGAAATACAAGCACACCCCTCGATCCGCAGTATATTATAACCGACTAAACTAACCGTGCGGTTATAATAATTTGCGATGCGGGTCTCTCTCTTCTCTCTCTCTCTCTCTATGTGCAAATATTCAAATAAAGACTCGCGGTAAAGGACCCGGTAATAAATAATAATAATAATAATAATAATTTTGTAACCGATAATTATTTGTCTGTTTGGCGTTATATTATGCAACGTTATATATATATTAACTATACGATATTTACATAATAACATTATGCGAACCCCCTTTTATTAATTTCGAATGTTTCAATCGATAACGATACGCCACGGTGGACGGTATATTTAAACCGCGAATACAAACAAATTAATTAAGCAATTTTTATTAATACCTATTTTTTATATTATAAATATTTCAAAACAATTATACGCCTAATTAAAATTATTGTTACAAAGTCTGTTTGTTTCCGTACGCGCGGTGTAAACGTTGTATTATGGCCGTATCATTTTTTTTTTTTTTTTTCTATTACTAGTTGATCTTGCACGGTATTGCCCGTGACGAATTCAATGGCCGTGGATTTGTCCCCTTTGAAACTCCATTAAAATTCAGCACTAGGCTACATATATTTTTAATACGGTTATTCGGGTTGTTTATTGCGTTTTAAATTTCAAAATTAAATTAAACGGATTTAGTTTTGTCGAGCGTTGATCAGCAATCAAAATTACAACGAAACTAACAAACAATGTTCAATAGATACCATAGATATATTTTATCATATAGATACCACATCATCGACAAAAATAATAATCGTATTTACTTTGTTACCGAGGTGATCGAATCAACAAAAATTATACCACAAAATACCAAAATCCCTGTGTCAGCTATCATTTAGGGGTTGAATTTTAGAACTTTCAATAGCTACAAACCTTTTCCGGACCACGTGGAACATTTTGCAGAAAACCCCGTTAAAATCGGTCCAATAGTTTTTCAGTCTATAACGGTCAGACATTCATTTTTATACGTAGAGATATATATCATATGTATGGATAGCCATATTATATCCATTAGCCAGCCATACATAAATAATTATTGTACAATAATTCGTTAGTAACGGTAGAATAAAAACCGAAAAAGATGCGGTCGGATGCGATCGGGAATGATACGAGGACAGGCGGCGTGTGCGAGGTGGGAGATCGGGTCAAGTAGTTTAGAACGAGGGCGGCCGACCCCGGAATAGTCGGGACGGAGGCGAAGGAGAAGTAATAACAACAATGTAGCGCGACAAAATTATTAACTTATTTAAATCGTTTAATTAACTTGTTTGTATTCACGGTTTAAATCGCCCGGAAAATGTGCACGCTGCCCGGGATTCCGCATTTCCCGGTAACGTACGTATTGATAATGTTTATAATCGACTGTGTTGTGTGCGGTATTATTGTTTCGCAGGCGACGGGAATCTGCATCTGAACGTGGTGACCACGGGATCCGACGAACGGCTGACCCGGCTGATCGAACCGTTCGTCTACGGGTGGACTCGCGATTGTCTGGGAAGCGTCAGCGCCGAGCACGGCATCGGTTTGACCAAAACCGACTATCTGGAGCACACCAAGAGCCCGGAGGCCGTCCGCCTGATGAGGAGCCTGAAAAAGACCATGGACCCCGGGTGCATACTGAACCCGTACAAAGTGATTCCGCAGACCTGCGGCGGCGGCGGCGGCCGGTAAACCCGAGGATTATAAAATAAAAAAAAAATAAATAAATATAAAAAAAACCGTATATATATATGTATAGCTACGTTATATTAGCGCCGCGGGGAATAACGTTAACCCGCCCCTACGTCCCTCCATCCCAACCCCTCTCGGTATAATGCGTAGTCGCGCGTAATTCCTTTTTGTGCGTTACGCCGCGGCCCGGAGCGGGGAACTATAGCACGCGGGTTTCGCCGCTCAAAGGCCGGACGTATATGTGTGCATACCTATACCTACCTATAATAATAATAATACCTATACACATTAGAATGTAATAATATTTCCTGAATCAATGGGCGTGTGTGTATATAGTGCGATGTGTTATGCGGAATGCAACGGAGCGGGAAGGAAAAAGAAAAGTATAACTCGCGTCTACCCAGAGAACGAAAAAGAGAGGAAGAGGGAGAGTGAGACGGAAAACGAGGATCGTTCAAAAATGGTATTTTTTTTTTTTAACCGTTCTACCCGTACATAAAAAACTAAATAAATAAATAAAGCCGTTGCTTTGTATTTTATAATTTAAGCTTCTGGAAAACAAAAATAAAAAAAAAAATTCCACCATTTTTTTTTCCCCTCTATATCCTTTAAATAAATACGTACCTACACGTATATATACGCGATACATAATACGCATATACGGGGAGAGGGGTGGCGGGTGGAGGGAGCGGCGATCGAAATTCCACGTTAAACAGCCTCGCGATTTATTATTTATGTACACGCCGAATTCCCGTTTCCCGCGAACACACACAACGCGAAAGCTTTATTTTTTTTTTTGCCAAACGAAAATATTATGTAGACGTTTGTTTATTTATACGGGCGAGCAATCTAAACCCGGCATTTATAACAATATATTATATTAATAATAAAACAACTATAAAACGCGGATTTCCAAACGTTTATGTACGACGGTATCGTTGTGTTCGACCCGCAAAGCCAAAGCGAATTGAATTACGTAAGCAAACATGTTTTCGTTGTTTTACGATCGCGCCGATTGTATCGCACGGCAATCACGCGGTATCGCAACAACAACAATAATAACAATAATAACGACAATTATTCACCGTACACAATCGACGGAACGTTTTTAATTGCTGTTAAGTATAGTTAAAGTGTGTTTGCGCCAATACGTAATAATATAACGTGTGTATACAATGTTTAACGATCACCGGAATCAAATATTGTAGGAATCAATAAAATTTAATATTATTACCGTGTTGCTTTATATACACATAGATAGATGTCTATATTATACTGTTGATAATCGTCTATCGTTATTTATCGGCTACTGTTATTTTTTACGCGTTCTTTTTACTTTACGTATACACACGAACACACACAAGAGGTCAGTTATGTTACGTTATACCGCGAGCGGTCGTGGAAATCGATTAGAAAAAAAAAAAAAAAAAAAAACCAACCATTTTACCGACAAATATTACGGGCACTCTAATCGTGCACGTTTGTAATCGAAAATTCCAAATTTGTAAACCACTCCGGGACCCGGTTAAAATCGATTTTTTTACTTCGGCCGCGCTAACGAAGCGACGCGTAATTAGTTGTGTATAGCTGATAACAATTGTGATGTTCTGTATTTCTTTCTGATTCGATAACGACGAAGTGGGTTTGATGTTTTAAACAAGTGCAGCATACAAGTTGAAAACGATGACCTTTTTTAATTCCGTGTGTATAAAAAAAAATTCAACGCAAACTAAACAAATACGACACGTATGTATGTATTTTTTATTTTTCTTTTATTTGATCTTGGCACTTGTTTATAAAGCGTAGTTACGCAGAATATTATATTATCGTAAATATTATATAGAATCCGATATCAATCATTCGCGAGTTTCGAACAATATAATAATGTACTACGGGTAACTATAAGAATGCAAAATATTTGCACACATTTTACAATATAACAAACAAAGACTGCAGCGTGCGTAATATTTCAAATAAAACGCGAATCTTTACTCTTTTTTTTTTTACCCCTCTCTCATTCTTTCCTTTTTTTTTCTCTCTAATAAAATACGACACGTTCTTCGCGATCGTCCATAAATATAATATCCTGCAGCGTACGTGTTTCTCTTCGCTATACGACGACCGGAAAGAACGACGACCGCGTTTTGCATTGTGGGACGCGAATTATTATTATTACGAATATCGTTTCTGTAATAATATCGTAACGACGACGGTTGCCAATTTCCACGCACCGGGACCATGTGTATTACAGGCAAAAGTACAAAGGCGACCGTATATAATGTCTTATTTATAAAAAGCCAGTCTGTGTTTGTCTGTCTGTCTGAAACACTTGTGCTCTTGTATAATTCGAACCGTGCGTTGGTGCGTTCGGGTTAAATTTGGAGTTTCAATACAAATAACAACGTGTTCAAGGAGGAGAATATTTTCGAGCGTTGTGCATGCATAGCTTTGAAAAATCGTCTTACGAAAAAGTCATCAGCCATAATTTCGCATTTTTTGATTCCGAGTGGAGCGATGAATATATTGGTTTTACAATGGTATTTATTCTATTTTTTCTGCAGACAACTTTTCTACCAGCAATCTCGTTCCGAATCACAATGATAGCATTTTTTCTGAAAGGAAATCTGAATGGGATGGTACTTTAGGATGATCGTTTTTTAATTTCCCCAGAAGTTTTCCCAATACGTGGGAAAAAAACGAAGGAAAAGCTACGGGAAAATAGGTACAATATTATTAAAGAAAATGTTTAACGCATATTGTGTAATTATTTTACCATAATATGGCATTAATAATGTTGACAAAACAACACACAACCGAACTCTGCTCAAAATCGTTTTATTCATTAGCAACGGTTAATCGTTGCGTATACAGATATAAATTAAATTTCTCCTCTACTGGCTTCCCAACTTCTCGCCTATAACAGTAGCCCGTCCACGGGCGGAGTATGTCCGTCTTGTTCTTCGTCAAACTCCGGTTACAATTAAACGCACGGATTTTATTTATCTATACACGGTCGAAAACCCGTCGGATATCGTTGCGGTATTTCGAAATGCACTTCAGTCCTCGGTGTATTCTGTAAAGGTTATAATTTATATAACTAGGATGATTAAACGAACGGATTAAATTCGACAATATTTCCATCGTTATACAGACGGTGCGACGAATAAAAAAAAAAAAAAAGCTTAATCGATTTTAATTATACCGTCGTCGGTTATATAGATGTACGTTAATAATATAGGTATTTTAAATATTGTACTATATATATATATATGTTCGACGCTCCATCATTCTGCTAGAATTTCAATAATTCGCACTCTCGTATAGCATAATAGTATGTAAATACTGCGCAATATTAAATATAATTATTTGGACGACAACGTAAATATTTAGCGATAATATACCTATTATTTTTGTTGATTTATTTAGAATCGTTTATTGTGTCTCGTATATTAGCTACGTGGTATATTATTGTTATGTACGGCGTGTCCTGCCGCGTGTAATAAAATGACGAATTCGTGTACACTATGTAGTTAAACCGAATTGCATTATAATAATACGCATTAATTATATAGCTTATAGGTAAACCGCGCAACAATAATTCATCGCCCGCTGCTACTGCAATATTCTTTAAAAAATGTGACGCGTTAAAAAAACAAAAAAAAAAACAAAAAAAAACCCGAAACAAAAATATCAGTTTCGTATTAAATTATCGTTTTAACCTAAATTAAACACGCAAACAGTTTCGAACAAATACACATAAAAGATATAATATTGTAATAACGCGTGTAAACCGAATCAATTGAAATTGATAAATCGATAGCATATAATATATCGGTATGTACGTGATGTTGTAACCGAACAATATATAATATTATTTTATTATTATTATATTATAATATTATATTTTGTGTATTCGTTTACAACACAATGTTTTATTATTATTGTTACAACATTTTTACCCGTAACTTATACTGCGATAAATAATATTACGTACGTAACGCAATGTAATATTATATTGTTGGCATAATATAGGTGCTGTATATGCGATTTCGCATAATATTTTACATTTTGCCGTACCATTGTACATTATTATTATGTTTTAGCGCGTAAATAAAAATTTAGGCTACGCGAAATACACGAGCTACATTTTATAATATACAGATACATTGGATTTTGTTATCAGTTGTTGTCGGCCATTATTTTCCGGTTCGATGTAAACAATGCGGGATTTGAAAGGAGCGGACGAAGGCCGAAGCGGTTTAAATAATATTATTATAATGTATTTCGATAGTATATTTAAAATATATAGACGTTAAAATGTTGCGTTTTTTTTTTTTTTTTCTTTATGTATACAAAATTAAAGACGACGCGTCAAACTTTACCGTGAGTCGTTTGGCCATTGTTAAAACAACAATAATAAGTGAGATGATTATCAAACACGATCGACTCGTGTTTATATAATAAAATTACGTGTAAATTCAAATTTCAGAGTTTTCAAGTATATGATATGTATACTGGTATTTTTCGCAACATTCGAGGTGCGTTCGGTAGCGAAACCGATTTTTGCGTTTCAAACGAGAACCTGCACGTGTTTTAAAGGGATTGGAAGCGACGAGTTTCTGTCTTTGTCTTACACGCATACGACATAGGGATTTAGACGTGTATTATTTCCGACGTACCGATTGATCTAGTGGAGCGATAAGAATTTTGAAAGCAGATTTGAATTTGCCGTGAAATCTACTTGAGATCGACTTTTCGACTTTTTTGGATTTTGATTTTAATTTCTCAAAAAATCTAAATATTCCAGTTTTTCAATTACTCTTTTATTAATATGGCTTTTTTTAGAACTTGAAGAGATAAATTTAAAAAAGAGCTAATACTAGGGATGGGAGCGGCCACTGTTGTAAATGAAAAGTCGAGAAAGTAAGATAAATAAGGTTATTTCATTTATATCTGTAAGCAAAGATAAACCATTGCTTGATGAAAGACGATTCCGAGTGCAGTTCGGTAATACATAATTTGAAGTGCCGTATTTTATTCGCAATTTACATTGAAATTTGATTTCAAAACGCTAATTAAAAAAAAAAATCGTCCAATAATTTTGGAAACTTAACCACGTCTAGATAAGTTCAATATGAGTATTATTACTACTATCAAACTTTGAGGGTAGAAAAGAATGGCGCGAAAACTGGACATCAACAGATGTAAAAAATAGTGGTCTAGTGTCAGACCCTAATAAAGGTGTAGAAGGCATGGATTTACCACGAGATGTATGGTCCGTACTTAATAGAATCCGAACTGGTCACGGCCGGTGCGGCTCCATGATGTCCAAATGGGGTCTTAAGGACAGCCCTACGTGTGACTGCGGTCACGATAACCAAACAATTCACCATATTGTGGAAGATTGCCCGAAAAGGAGGTTCAATCGGGGCATTGAGGGAATTCATGTGGCAAATAATGAAGCATTAGAATGGATTCGAGAACTAGACATTGCCTTATGACTATGGATTTTATCTGTAAATAATGACCACGTGCCCCTACTTTTATTATTTATTTAATTTATTTTCATTTTATATATTCATTATTATTTATTATTATTTATATATTCATATATTCATTTTATATTTTTAATTGTAGTTATTTTTATTTTTATTTTATATTCATGATTTATATTCGATATATATTGTGGCCTCAACTGTGTTGATTTGTACTCCAGCCATACGAAATAATAAAAAGTATTATTACTAAGTTTCAAGTCTCTACATGTATTTATAACCAAATTACAGCAAAAAACCCCCCAACAATTAAAATATATTAAAGCTCAAAAAATTTGGCGATGATACTGTAAGAAATTAAATAAAAAAGGCAACAAAAAATGTTTCTTGTGATTTTTTGATTAAATCAATTTTTCTGGTAGAAAACGTCGTCCATGTGTTTATAAAATAATGAAATCGTGAAATTTTACGTTTTTCTACGATTTTTCGTATTTTTTTACTTAAAAAATGGCGTTGAAAATTACCTCTATAAAGTATCATTTAGACAACTTGAGCTTTCAGAAAAGTTACTACACGTAAAAATCGGAACAAGTTTACTAGGAAAAAACGTGTCCACAGACTAGAACAAAAAAAAAAAAAACAGCATTGTAAAACCAATAGCTCCCTCGCTACTCTCGGAATCTAAAAGTGAAAAAGTTGATCTTAAGTAGACTTCACGATAAATTCAAATCTGTTTCCAGAATTTTTATCGCTTCAATAGATCAATCGGTACGTTGAAATTAAAAAACAACTAAATCCTTTTATCTCACGACGTATGTGAGACAACGACAGAAACTCGTCGCTTCCAATCCCCTTAATGCGAATCGTCAACTGGATGATTTCACTGAAAATGTTGACGCGTTGTAATCGAAAACTGAACGTTTTTCGTGTCGTCATACTTAAAATACCAAAGGATAATAACATAAAACCGGATTTTCGATAACTGCACGGATCGAACCTAAAATTGCCTATACACGACTCCTACAAAACAGTCGGTATCTATTTTAATGCAGAATAACCCAGAAACTTTTCGCTCAAATTTCGATTATAATACGTCAATATTTTCAGAAAAATCATACGATTAACAATACTTTAGCAACATCAATTAGGCGAGCATGGTTAAAAAATCTCGCGAGTTTCGATATTCCGATTTCAATGCAGTGCCCTATAAAAGATGCGAAATTTACGCTCAGTGGTACCACTCAACTTCAAATGTTTTTTTTAAACTCTAGACATTTTACTCCTACATTCTTTATTTATCGGCCCTTTTTTGACCCACAAATAAAGCCAAAAGGGATGACATTTTATATATTATACATGATAATAATTTCAACAACGTGCCTCTTGGGTATTTTAACTTTCACTATTATTATATTTTTTTTTTTTTTTTTTTAAACGGACCTCTCTGAAAACTTATCTGTGAGGATAATCGTATTGAACACAAAATAAATACATGCAATTTTTTTTCTACCCAGACTCGGAAGATCGACCGGAATTTTGACTTGATACGAGGTTAAAAATTAGAGGGGGACAAATGTCTCCTCTACTAAAATAATGTCACAGATTTGTATAACCAACGTAAACGTTCCGGAACAATTTAGTTCGAGTAAAAATGACGTGATCGCATTCGAAATTATTATAAAACGTTATTATATAAGTAAGTACATTGTACGAGTATATAGGAAAAAATGATAAATGGTGAACCATATTCAAAATACTGAGTGACATTGGAGTTTTTCACAAAGCTTGTGGTAAGTAAACCAATTGTTTTTTTAATTATCCCTTAGATGGGAAACGGTTTATCAAAATGTCTCCAATTTTATAAAATGTGTTAATAGTTATTTACCATTTATAATGACCACTTTAATTATAAGACTTTTCCACTAATCTACTGCCCGATATCCATTTAAAAGGAATGGTTACGGACATTTTTACGAAAAACTATGACGTTCTAAAGTTCTAAAGAAAACTGACCTCATTAAATAACCGTACAGAAGTTTCTTCAAAGAATTTGTACATTATATAAATATATATTAGAATCATACAACAGAAAGTATAATATGTACTTTCCCGTCGCGTATTTGTCGAAAACGTATAAAAAATATTTGTGTTTCAACCCATTTAAACTTATTACAGACTCATAAACGTATTTTAACAAAAAATAAGTTAAAACGATTTATAATATTATTATAGTAACAATTTAATTATTATAATTAAATTATTTTCTAGCTTTCTATTTTTTTTTCTGGAACTAGTGAAGTTAAAAGTAACTGATATGTAAATAAACTAAAAACTTAACTCTTCAACTACCTATAGTCATACTGCCCGGCTTTAGTTAGTCGTGCGTTCGGTGTCCGGCCGTGTTATTCGTAGTAAACTTACTATCACTGCGCTGCAGTGTTTACTATATTTTTAACAACAATAGTACAAATTATTATCAACGGAAATTTAATTAAATTGTTTTCGTTACGTATCTAATAATTATAAACGAATTCATTAGACGAGGTATTATAATAATTATTACCGTCGCATTGTTATTATAATAACTGCTGTTAAATTAAAACGATTATACATTTTTTTTTTTCAAACCTGTTTATTTTCGTTTTAAATAATTTATCACACTCATAAAAAAAAAAAAAAAAAAACAATTATAATTTCAACTTATTTTTTATTTGTATTTGTTTTGCTTTCGTGACATATACATCTCCTGCAACATGTATTTTATTTCGATGTTTATAGTACTGTAGGTATAAAACCGTCCAATATTTGTTTAAAAACGTTATCGACAAATAAATGTTCAGTAGATTTTTTTTTTTTTGTACGTATAATATTTGTACAATGAGTTCATAGTATCGTTAAATTAATAGCACGGTACACACGCGCTGGCAAAGTATAATATGTATATAATAGGCAATATTATAACCATCATCGCGTTTGTATAATTTATATTTAATTTTTTTTCCCTTTATTGACTCGTTTAAAATATTTACGCATATAGGTATAAAGAGTGCGGTATAATAATCGAACACGTATTTTTTTATAGTAATAATTATTATTATTAAGGGACCTATGCGCGACCTGTTTTTTTTTTTTTAATCCGAAAACACTATTTGCATACAGGAAAAACTCGTGTCTCACCAATCGAAGCGAACCGATGTCGATTATTATTTTGTTGTCGTCGGAAAGAGGAAGACGTATCTTACACGGCGGTGGATTTGAGTTTTGCAATTATTGTTATAATTCTGAACGCTATATAATTTTAAATTTCGGATACGACCAATTTCGCATCGATTTTTATTCTTTGTTTGTGTTTCGATGGTATTTGGTTACACGTCAATAAATATCCGAATCCAACGAAGCCCTGTCGGGAATTTCCTAGCTAGTCAGTCGCTAATAATGTGCCTGGCACTATTAAATTATTTATTTATTCGCCTATCGGTTGCTCGGTGCCAATGTTACATTTCATGTGTATAAGCGAGAGCACTATATTTATTTTACATTTACATTTATAATGCGCTAGTTTTTTCGCTAAATTACAACAATATAAACAAAAATCAAAATTCACATTAACGGTTATTGCGTACAAATTTTCTTTCGTTACAAAGGTAATTTACGAGGCCAAGTAAAAAAAGCGGCCTCCTCGATGCGCCAAATAGACAAAATCTGCTACTAGAAACTACCCTCGATGAAGTTGATGATGTTCGGAGCGAGTCTTATGGTCGGAAAGTTGTTCATGGAGACGAAAATAAAAACACATTTTAGTAAAACTAATACATTACTCACTTCGCTCAGTATATAAAAAAAAAAAAAACGAATAGTATATAAAAGTTGGAAAGTTACGGTTTTCAGAAAAATGTTATAGAAGAATCGAAAATTGAATTTGTTGCCGACCTAAAAGTTTCCAGACATTTTACAAAACAGTTTTGTATTGATTTGAGGGTACACATTGTTATAGCTGTACACATGTGATATAGTTTTTATAATTCAATAATAATGCCCCGTGACCTTTCTGACGCGGTTTTCCGTAACAAATCGAGGATTATTTTAGATTAAGTCTATGGACTTGTACGAGCTCGCTAAGCGACCGAGTGTGTAAATAGCAGAAGGCTCGCATCAGACTAAGCTGCAATACACTTTTCATTTTTTTTAAATTTCGTTTGCAATAGTCGGTGGGTTTTTTTGTTTCATTTTCGAACCTTTATCGTTCATCAGATCCTTATCATTTTTCCCGAAAACTTTATGTGTACACTACCCGGACAAATCTGTAACGGATGTATAGTGTCTGCACCGAAACCCGTAGATTGTACTGCAGAATTGCTTGGTTTAAAAATTACTCGTCATCACTGGCAATAAACATAATAATATTGATACGAGCGATAATAAATAATATTATAATAACAATATTTCAATCGGTGATGCGTTTACATCATAATATTAACATAGGTGTAAATAGTATACAAAATATTATTGTGCGGATACTCAGAACGCGAGCGTATTAATGTATTATACGAACACGATAAGAGCATAATATTATAAGTATATTTACCAATTCACCGTGATACCGTTCGAGTGTTTCCCGACCCAAGAAATAAAAAAAAAATACACACATAATCCTAGTTATGGGTACCTATACATGTACAATGTATACGGCGTTTAAACACAAAACACTTAACGATCTGAACAAAAAAAAAAAAAAATAAATAAAAGATAATGAAATTCACTCGACGCAAAACATTAATGAAAATAACGATTCGTCGTTGTCCTTGCCACTTTTTTTTTTTTTTACTGTTATTACGTCAAACGGTAAGTATACAGTTTTATTCACGAATACATAATATTGTACAATGCAGTAGCGTTAAATAGACGATTAAGTTAGGTTAGGTAGAATCATTATTGTCGATACGCATACGCACAAAAAAGTAGCGTTATGAAAAATGAAAATAAGGAAATAAGTAGTGCCATGATACTATAATGTGTACTATATGCAGATCTGGACACTGTTTAATAAATAGCCACTCCTCTTCCCTTGAAAAAAGCTCCACGATCAAATAGAATAAATCCTAACTTTTGGACTTGGCTTAACTGGACAAAGTCCAGAAGTTAAGATTTACTCATGGCGGTAACACCAGTGAGAGTATTTCCTACATAAAATAAAATGGTTTGTTATAAAGTCGACTAGTTCAATCATTTTCCATTTATATTTTATAGTAGACAATTAGAAAAGCATTACTTCACAGCGTGTCTATATTTGGATACAGAAAACCTTCTTAAAAATATCCCGATATTAGTACAAAATATCAATTCTTTCCATAGGCAACTTCTTTGTTTCGTGC